TGCCCCCGTCTCGAATGGTATGACTGTTGTGCGTTTTAAATTATGCATTGTTATGCTTTGTTTTTTTAAACTTGTTGTCTGTATCCCCCTTCCCTGGTTTGAGTTGTGAGCCGCCCTGAGTCCCCTTCGGGGGAAAAGGGCAGCATATAAATACAATAAACTGAACTGAACTGAAAGCCCTATGAAGCGGTATATAAGTCTAACTGCTATTGCTATTGCTATGTGAATGTATAGTCACTCCGACTTCACGGTGCTACGTTGTTTTAAATGTAAAAATAAAATAAAAATATATGGGGGGAAAAAAGGATGCTTTGGAGCCCGTAATCCCACATTATTACAGGAACAAATCGTCTATGGTAAAAGCATGGGAGGAGAGGAGGGGTGGGGGAGGTCCAGAGGGGCAACCCGCGGTCTTCCCCCTCTGGGGAGAGACCAAAAGGCCTCCCTTACCTTCGGAGTGGTGCGACAGGGTGAGCAGGCTGACGCAGGAGGCCCCGATGCCCGACCCGAAGACGGTGATGCGCAGGGGGTCGCCGCCAAAGAAGGCGATGTTCTCGCTGATCCAGCGCAAAGCCTGGATCTGGTCCAAGAGCCCATAGTTGCCTTTGGCCGCCTGGTCGCCGGTGCTCAGGAACCCTGCAGGAGAGTAGAGTCAGTTGTTCCCCATCCAGAGCTTCCCTCCTCCGCCCTCCCCGCTGCTGACCAGGTCCCACCAAAGGGTCAGCTCCTCCGTTGCCCTGCCAGAGTCCCAGAGGGAGCCTTTGGCGCAATCCGAGGAGGGCAGGGAGATGCCTCACGGGCCCGTCCCGCAGCCTCCTCGGCTCTGAGGGAAGATGCCCCCGAGCGCCCCTCCCTCGGGACGATGGGCTGGGCAACCCTGCCTTTGGGGTTAGGCCAGTGGTGGGATTCAAATAATTTAACAACCGGTTCTCTGCCCTAATTTCCAGCTGGGTAGGCGGGACTCAGTGGTCACGTGACTGGGTGGGTGTGGCCAACTCAACGTGACTCCCGTCAATGGGTGCTTCGCCTTAGCTCTTACAATGGAATCGGGGTTAACCGGAGAGGCAGTTTCTGTAAGCAGGTCAACAAAGATGAGGCTAGAAACAACATCAGAATGTTTCCTTCCTGCCTTCCTTACAGGATTAGCCCTGTAAAGTGGGGAAAAACAAAAGGAGATTTCTTCCAACAATTAGTTCTCCAGGCTGCTTAGAAAATTAACAACCGGTTCTCCCGAATAGGTGCGAACTGGCTGAAAATTGAACTGGATCAAAGAAGAAGCCATGTGTTCACCCCAAAAGAAACCTCTACTTTAGTTGCTTGTTAGGGTCCCGGAGCTCATACGGTGGATGAGAAAATGGGACCTTTGCCTTGCTACCTCTTAAGGCCACACAAAGGACATTGAGGGACTCTATGTGGCCCACTACTTGTACAAAAATACTGTGGGCGACACTAATGCTGTGTATTGTATTCTTGCTTTATGAGGATAAAACGGTTGAGTGGCTATCCAGATAGATCTCCAGTTACAATCACAGCTGGGACCAGAATTCCTGTTGCTAAGCAAGAGTTGTTAAATGAGTCACGGCCTATTTTTATGAATTTTTTTTGCCATGGTTGATGAGCAAATCGCTGTCATTGTTAAGTTGATTTTGCAGTCATTAAGCGAATCTGGCTTCTCCTGTTGGCTTCCTGTAATGCACTCTACATGGGGCAGCCCTTGAAGA